CTTCTACTTCTGCCAGCTTGCACTCAAAGCTTTCCTGGGAGAATACGTCTCCCTCCAGAGTGCTTCCCTGTCCTTCTGCTGCCCTGAATTTTTCTGATAAGACGAACACCATGTTAATGCCCAGATCGCCCTACAATAAGCTCTCCTATTCTGCACCAAAAGCCTCGGTTTCTTCGTCTAATCCTCCATCATATTCCATCTCTTCTGTCCAGTCTTCTTGGTCTTCTGTCTCGAGGAACCCAGTTTGGTCCTCTGTAGATGGCTCATAGTCTAACTGCTCCTCCTCGTTTTCTTCAGTCCAGTCTTCTTGTTCTTCTACTAAAATAAGTTCGGACGCGCCTTGTATTTTTGCAGGCTCAGGCTGATAAACTGAAGAGGAGGCCGGATGGATGAGAGGTTTGTCTGGAGATTCTGTCTTCATCAACCCCTGTGATTGATATGTTGCTTGTTCTGCCCGAGGAGTTACTTGTGGATTCTTTCCTTTTCTGGTAGAACTTGTTTCTGGAAGTACCTGTAGGTCATCCCTGTTCTTGAGGAAGGTGCAATACTGCCTTTGAACTCTTCTCTTCTGGGTTCTGGTTAGCTCTAGAGTTGGTCTACCGCTTTTCCCAACGGAATACCATCTTCCTTCTATGATAGTTGCCAAAGGCTTGTCATTTCCGGGCATCTTGATTGGTATTTCCTTTTTGGGCTACTCTGGCCTTCTTCTGTTGTGCTGGGCAGGCCTGAAACAGTTCCCTTTTCTGGTTCCGCCTTTAGAAGGAGCCGGAACTGGGCCTTGTCGACGCGATGTTCCGATCCGGTCAAATACGCTGGGCATAGGCTGACTCTGTCTGTCTAGAGTCACTTCTAACTCAGTTTCACACTTGCACTTGCTGCATAGTACTACCCCAGCCGAGATGGTTGCCTTTGGCCTTCGGTAATCCCCCGTTGTGACTCTTCTGCTCCTGCCGCTGGTTTGTTTTCCTTTCGTTCTGGCCAATTTGGGTTGACCATGTTGACCTGAGGCTGGGGAAAAGGGTCTGTCGTCACTGAGGGAGGTTTTTCTGCCAGTTTCAATCTCCCTGTTGTTATTCCTTCCTGTATGACATCTCTGAAAACAACACAATTGTTGGTGGAGTGATTCCAAGAATTGTGCCACCTGCAATATTGTCTACCCTTAAGTTCTTCTGGTTTGGGTAGCTTATGAGGCGTCTCTATTGCCTTTTGTAGCAGCATCTCATCAAACAGAGCATCAACCTTGGTTAGATCGAAAGAGTAGACCTTGTTCTGTGTTGGTTTGTTTGGAACAAATCCTCCTGTGAATGGTGGTAGCTTCTTGTCCTTTGGTGGCCTTGTAAGCGCTTTACAGCTGATGGGGTGTTTTAATTTTGCCATTTCTGCCACTGCAACTTCTCTTTCTTCCGAGCCTTCTGCGTCCTCTTCTGACTCTACTTCGATCAGATGGAACGAAGAAGAAGGAGTCTTGTAGTACATGCCTTTGGAAGAGTTCCTCTTCTGTTGTTCTTCCCTGAGGAGGTCCTCATTTTTAGATGCTTTGTCTGCTAGTTCTGCCAGATCTCCAAACAGCATCCCATCAAATTTTTTCTTAAAGAAATCTTAAGGGCGGTTTGAGCCATCTGGATGAAGTGTCTTTCTTCCATAGGGATCCGGCATTTCATCTTGAGCTTCCTGAATCTGGTTATGAAATCCTGAGCAGGTTCCTCTTCACTCTATTTGAGGGCAGCAAGATCACTGATGGTGACTTCTAGCTGGATCCTAAAATAATAATCATGGAAAACATTTTCCATTTGCTCCCAGGTCTGAACAGAGTTAGCTGGTAGACTGGTATACCAGGTAACAGCTTGTCCAGAGAGAGAATTTCCAAAAAGCCTCAGTTTTAACAGAGGATTGTTCTCTATTGCTATGCACTGGACATAAAATCTACCTATGTGTTCAACCGATGAAGCATGAGGATCTTCTCCATTAAACAAGGTGAAGTTTGGTACTTTGAAACCTGGGGGTAGAGGAATCTGATCTATGTAAGCCGGGTACGGCTTTCTGTAGGTAGGCCTTTCTCCTCTTCTGGCTTCTGGCTCCATCATTTCCCTGATCATTCTCTGTAATGCCCCCAAGTCGTTCAAAGCATTGGCAGGATGTGGATTCCGTCCTTGTTCTGGCTGGACATGGTCAAACCTGTGTTCCATTCTGTACGGCCGGGGCAGAGCTTCCTCCCTGTGTTCTTCCTCTTCTTCAACATCTGGATGGTTCCTCCAGTTTGCCCCTGGTCTGTTCCTGTCATTGTTGGCAAAAGGGTTAATTCCCCCTCTGCCTCTCCTGCCCCTTGCTAGTGGAGGAAATGGATTGGGGTCCATTCTTCTAGGTGGCACAGCTGGTGCCTCAAGCAGAAGTGGCAAGGGTTGATCTCGTGGGGCCACAGGTTGTGGAATATGTGGTTCTGCCTGATTCTGGGGAGCTTGAACCGGCGCCAGGCCTTCTGGCCTGACTGGAGCCTCATGTTCCTGGGCGGGAAGGACTCTTCCCCTCTGTCCAGCTTGGATTTCTTCCGGTCCTGGTGCTCCAGCTATCTGTGCAATAAGAGGGTTCTCTTGATATGGCCATGCTATTCCTGGTGGAGGACCGTAAGGGAGGTCTAGCTGCTAAACCACAGCATCAGGGTTTGGAATTTTGGCCATGGCGGCCTCACGGTCTTTCCTGAACTGCCTGTTAACTTGCCATTGCATCATTGCTGTCATATTATTCAGAGTGTCCTGGCTCCATTGTGCTGTGGCCTCCTGTCGGAGCACAACTTCCTGTATCTGATTCAGCCTCCTGGAAGCAGTTCTGGAACATCTGCTTCCAGTACTGCCATGAGCTGATTGTCTAGCATCGCTTTCTTCTGATTCTGGTCCTTCTCGGAAAGCTGCTTGGTCTCGTTCCATTACGCGACATGGATTCTGGCTAGAACTTCCAATATTCATATACTTCTAGAATATTAAGAGTATATATACTGAGAAGTCCCACTGGGCGTGCCAAATTGTTCACCCGTTTTGATTTATCTTCTGTGACGGTAGGATAAAGTTCCCCATTGTCTTGAGAACCATTGACTGGTTAGCAAGTCAACTTTCTTTAATGTGTGAGCGTGCCACTGCTAGCAATAATCCTAGCAGACTTCTTTAAAAATAGATAACTTGCGCCCCAAGTTATTGATTTTTGAACAAGCGATTGTGAATTTGGGTGAGGAATATCTCCCAAGTAAGTTCTTTTCCTGCCTCAGACTGGTGAGGACTTCACAATTTTTCACAGTACAAAACTGGTAGTTCTGGCCATAATAAATGATGATAGAGTGAACCGCTTTCAGGCAGAACTCCCTTTTACAAAGCTCAAAAGGGAAAAACTGACTATAAAAAGACAAAAAGAGGGTCGTGCTTCCATTTCTGTCTGGGCAGATGCTTCTGATCCGGGCTGGACTGGATATGCCTGTACTAGACTGGACTTCTGACAACTTCAACTGCTAGGCTTCCGCTGCAAATTGATACCAAAGCTTGAGTCTGGCAGAGCTTTAATCTATTTCAAGCCCTGGAAGGCTTCTAGATGGGCAGAACTGGGACTTCTTCAGTCTGAAAGGGGCAGAAGTGACTGGATTTGAGCTGGAACTGTGCTGTGGCACCTATTCTGCTTAGTCAGGGTTCTCCATAAATTTGTTGAGGTTTTCGTATTTGTGAAAACTCAAGCTCTGTTTGCCTTGGCTTTGCTGAACCAAATTTGTAACGAGAGAAATCTCGTTTTAATTGATTTTCTTCTAAGTTTGAAAAACTGGAGGCTTTGACTTGTAACTGGCTTTTCTTGTGGCTTAGCTAGCTTTTGGTTTCTTCAATTTGCTCGAAGGTTCTCTGAGATCAAGTGATCATTTTGAGTGTTTGTCTTTTGACTGATTTTTTTGGTTGTGTTCATTGTGTGTTGCTTTGTTCACTCTCTCCTGTATTTATAAGAGATGCTTTTGGGAGTGGGAGTTTTCATTCTTTTAATAATGGGCGGCAAACAATCTCAAAAGATCTTTAGTTTTAAAAGAAAAAGGAAGGGAGTTCTATCCATTTTCTGGCAGTTAGGCCCTCAATAGTCACTTCCCTGTATTTTGATGGGGCGTCATACATCCTTTTTCCAATCTAACTGCTTTTCAAATAGTGATGGTGAGTGTGATTTTCCATTTCAGCAACTCCTTGTTTCCTGCTTATCTTTCTTTTAGAAAACACAATCTGCGTATCCTTTGAGAATAATGCCTGCCGAGTTTTATATATATATATATATATATATAAGGATTTTGATCTTTCTCTGTCTATAAAAGTCTGGAGAATTTTCTGCAGGCGTGTATTCATGAATCCCTGTAACTTCTCTCTATGACTTGAGTTGCAATTTTTGACTTTTTTCAAAGTCAGGTAAGTCACGTGAGTATGTCTCTCTTTGGGGCTTCTCTTTTCTTTCTTCAATTTAAAACCTGCCAAGCCCATTTTGGTTTCGAGCTTGATTTGGGTTCCTTTCGAGGCCCAAGACTCTTCCTGGTTTTGACTGCTTCCAGGCCTCCAATGTTTGGGCCGAGGCCTGTTTATTTGATAATGGGCTGGGCGCATCGATGGGCAGAGGGCGTCAATTTTAAGGTCCAAACAGGTGGCCTGAGAAATGATGTGGGCTTCTGTCTTTGGACTGGGCGCACCAATTTTAGGCCCAAACAAATACAGAACCCGAATAGGTGCGCAGACGAATACTTGGATGGAATCGAGAATTTTATTGACTTCGCACGGACACACAATCCGGGTGCAACTAGAATCTAGTGTCCTTGTAGGAGGTGTAACAACACGTTGTGGGAGACAATTGAAAATGTTCGATTTCATTTAGTAAGGAATGGAATGATTTAGACATAAAACACTTGGAACCATCACGGTGAACATTTAGACTATGCTTCGTCTTCAAGTGACACAAGAGTGGACAATGTTGAACCTATTGTGGATCCTAATGAACAAGTCATGGATATTCTAAATGATGTTTTTCCATTTGCATCTACCAACATCAATCAGGAAGGGGAAGATGATGTGCCTACACCAATGGACAATGTAGAGTTCGAACAGTATGAAAAACTGTTAAAAAATGTCATCCAAGAGTTATATTCGGGGTGCGAGAGCATATCCGTTCTCACGGCCATTGTGGAGCTAATGCACGGAAAAATAAAGTATCGTATGTCGAACCAGTGTTTTCATTATTTTTTGGGGGTTTTCAAGAGAATGCTTCCGACAGACAATTTTTTGCCGAAAGACCACAGACAGGCGCAGAAGGTGTTGAATGGTCTTGGATTGGGTTATGAAAAGATTCATGCTTGCAAAAACAATTGCATGTTGTTCTACAAAGAGTACGAAACATTGGATACATGCCCTATATGCAATGGGTCGAGGTTCAAAATGACATATGAGAATAGAATGACTAAGATCCCACAAAAAGACATGCGATATCTGCCCCTGAAACCTAGGTTGCAGCGATTGTGTATGTGGACGCATACTGCCACAGACATGAGATGGCATAAGGAAAAACGGGTAGATGACGATGTGATGTGTCATCCTGCAGATGGGGAGGCATGGAAAGAGTTTGATCGAACCTTCCCCGAGTTTGCTGCTGATCCCCGAAATGTTAGATTGGGACTTGCCACTAATGGATTCAATCCGTACGGGGTTCTAAACCAACACCACAGCACTTGGCCGATTTTCGTATTCCCATATAATTTGCCGCGCATGAAAAAAGAAGACATGATGATGACTGTTTTGATAATTGAGGATCTAGGCAGGTCAATCGATGTTTACTTACGGCCGTTGGTTGATGAGCTCAAGCATTTATGGACAAACGGTGTGCGCACGTACGATAAATCCACTGGGAAGATGTTCACTTTGCGGGCAGCAGTTATGTGGACTGTGAATGATTTTCCCGCATATTCAATGGTTTCTGGGTGGAGCATAAAGGGTTATATGGCATGCCCTGTATGCAAGGAAGATGTAACCTCTGGTTGGCACGCTGGAAAAGTTTGTTACCTTGGTCATCGGAGATGGTTGCCATGGGACCACGAGTGGCGGGAAAAGGATAAAGAGTTCGATGGGAACACAGAGCGTCGCCTCAGACCTAGAGAATGGTCCGGTGATGAGATCTTGGAACAGCTTAACCGTTTGGATTTTGCTCTGTTCGGGAAAACAGTTAATTGGACCAGACCTTCTACATATATGAACTAGACGCACAAGTCTATGTTTTTTGAGCTCCCATATTGGTCGAAACTAAAGTTGAGGCACAATTGTTGTGTGGATACAGCTGCACCAAAATGGATTAAGCTGCATCCTCAACTTGTGATACTCGCAAGTGCACGAGCCGTTTGGTAGTATAGCATATGTAAGTGCGAGGTCGATCCCACGAGGATTGGTGATTGAATGATCCCATTCATTTCTCCTACACAAAACAGAAATGAAAAAAGGAAATAAATAAAACAAGAAAAAGGAAATACCTCAAGCAAATAAGTTTCCAAGTTCAATTAGATTAATGGATTGGTTCTAGCTAAAGTATGATTAAGCCATGGTGTGTGGTCATAACCTTGTGTTCCTAATTCCCTAATTTGATCATTTGTTGTCTAACCTAAAATTAAGCATTAGGAACCCATTAAGCATAGAAGAACAATTTAAACAACCAAGCATGTATCTAATCCCTGTTGTCGAATGTCCATACATACTCTTCCTATTCATAGTTCAATTCGAATTAAAGCATGGTGTATACTCTTAATTCAAACCAAGATAGCTAACATGCAAGCCTTAATGGTGATTAATCATTCAAACTAGCATATTAACTTATAAGCATAATGAATAAGAACATGAACCATAATTGAAACTTGGAAACTAATCAAACACTTCTCTAGAGCTCCCTTCCCTTCTCCCCCTCAAATTCTCTTAGTTTCCTTTCTAGTTTTCAAATGTTGTAATGAAATATTTGTGCTGAAATTCAACTTAAGTTTTTCAAGTTCTACTTTACTTTTATTTGTAATGTACATTCTTTCTTAAGTATTCAAGTTTAATTAGTTTCCAAGTTTCAATTATGATTTTTGTTCTTATTCATTATGCTTATAAGTTAATAGGCTAGTTTGAATGATTGATCACCATTTAGGCTTACATGTTAGCTATCTTGGTTTGAATTAAGAGTAGACACCATGCTTTAATTCGAATTGAACTTT